CGAGCTCCCGCCCGCCTGCCAGCTGCGCAGCAGCCCGCGCCTCCGGGCACGTGCGGGTCGTGCCGGGTGGCTTTAGCGCGCAGTAAATGGACAGTATGTGGTCATCAGTTTAGTACCGCGTGGCTTCACTGCGCAGTAAATGGGCTACCGGCCGCCCATTTACTGCGCGGTAGACTAGTCGTGGCCCGCACACGCAGACGGTGACGCTTTAAGGTGCAGTGCACAGCATAGCATCTCCGGTAGACGCGGCCGGGCTGGCCCGGGGATAATCTTCTTTCCTGTCCCTGAGCCCGCCCTGGGTCTGACCCGGAGCAGAGGCGAGATCGTGTGGCCGGAAACGCCTGGGTTTGGTCCCAGCAGAAGCGTTGGTCCACCCCAGTCGCCAACACCCAATGCCTCGTCTTTCATGTGACAAAAGCGGTGTCCGTATCTTTATCTTTGCGCACTTGGGCTTTTCTGTCGATTGGGGAGCTCAGAGCCGGTACCAGGGATGACCAGGTGGAAGTGGCTCTCGTGGATCCCCACCCAGTGCCTCTGAGGGAGGCTTAAAAACACCCTGAAACACATGCCACCCCCCCCCCCCCCCCCCCCCACTCAACAGCATGCATTAGACTCAGTTTGCAAACTTCAGTTTATTGAGATTATTTTTTCTTGGTCCACAAATCCAGAATACATCCAAGTCAGATAGGCTGAGGTCTTTGATGTACAGGTAAAGCTCAGTCCTCAGCGCTGTTGGGCAGGGAGGCTGAGAAGAACGGTCCTTTTAAAAAGCGATGAATGCAAACTTCGTCGTTTCTATGAAAATAGAACTTTACATATAGCGCATATGTTATATAATCGACTTACAGTCTTGAGGAAACCAGAAAGCAGCTGTGAAGAAAGGGCAGAAATAAACACAGAAGCAAAGGAAAACATTTCAAATTCAGGTCCAAGGGCCTGAGTCTGATCCCATGTACCCTGGTCTAAATCAGGAATAAAAATCACCAAAGTCAGTCTTGTAGCAGGGATGAGTCCTGCCCATTGTTTGCCCATGGTGTTATGAAAGGCTGCGGTTTGGGAGGTTTCCCGGCTACCTTGGATCCCTTCCAGTTCATGCAAAGACAGAAAACCCCGAGACAACTGCAAAGTCATTGCAGGAACCAGCTGAACTGGACTTACACACGTTACAGCCTCTGTAAGGGTGGAGAACGAGGCATAATCCTAGCCTTTAGGCTCCATGTCAGAAGTACTAATATGCCTGCTCTTGGCTTCATACAGCTAACTCCCAGTGATTTTTTTTGGGTCACCCACAAGCAGGATGCCAATAACTAAGGGGTTTGAACTCAGAAGTCACCTGTTGTGGACATCAAAGCTGGCAAGGCAAGTCAAAGCTGTCTGGGAGACAGGTGGAAAGAATAAAATCACCTCTCCCAGGACCTGCATGACCAGCAGCAGTGCGAGGTCCCCTCGCTGTGCTACCCCAGCCCTAAGGGTCCTGACGGGAACGCGAGAGAGTAACCGTCTCCAGCCTGATTCAGCCCTGGGTCTCCCTGGGGACTGCCAACAGGGAATAAAGACAGCCGTCGTAACCACTGTTAGTGATCTGGACAGCCGCCCACGAGGAACCAGACTGAGATTCCCAACTCTCTCCTCTTAGAGCACCCACCAGCCACGGCTAGGGTGGTAATGGTGGGTCACTCCTGAGCTAGACCGCAGGTGAAAGGCTTGACCGCATCTGATATCCGGTCCTCCAGAACGTGACTCAAACACTGCTCGTTTCTGAGCAGCGCAAAGGGTTTCTAGGGTCCGTGTATGGAGGCCTATGAACAATTACTGTCTCTGTTGCCAGTATAAAATAGGTAAGTGCTACCTAAGCATCCAACTCTCACAGAAATAAAAGGGTCAAGTAAAACTTGAATAAAGAGACATTCAAGATCAAATGCAATTGAAATACAACAATGAATTTGAGTCCGATAACCCCATGCTGTCTTATAGCAATCCACGAAGATTCATGCAAAAGAGAAACGGCTGATTTCCCAGGAGGAAGAGAACCTATTCCTTTCCAGGACAGACCTGGTTTTCCTCCTACCAATGAACTTTCCCAAATTCTGATGACGTGACTGCTGTTTGTGGCAAGAAAGCGTTTGTGTAAATCACCCTACGAAACTGTACAGAGCAACAATGGCCTAACAGCCGACTCGTGTCCTATCAGTGCGGGAGCAGGGCAGAAAGGCATCCAAGCTTGTCCCATACGTAGAGGGAGTGACGTGATAAATGAAACGCCGTAACTGTGTGTACAGCAACTGGTGAAGTACAAAATCATTAGGGACTAGTTGGACTTTCATAGTAAAATAAAGCTAGTTATGGAGCCCACTGTGTGGTACCAACAGGAGCCTGTAAAACATCTCAGTGTCCTCTAGAAAATGAGTAAAATACAGTACAGGAAGTGTGGAAATATCCAGAAGGTACTTGCACAGGTATAAAAATAGACACAGTCCTCAGACAACAATGTAAACTGGTACAAAATAATTCCAAAAAACAGGAACGAGTTTACAAAAGGACACGTTAATATAAAACAACAAACCCAGGTTTCCTTCATGTCCCAGCCTCCCACGCAGGACACAGACGCGCGCACCCCAAGGGTGAGGCCCCTGTACCAGAGGTGAACCGACAAAGCCTTGGCTCACTGTTTGACCTTATCAGTCCGGAGCGTCTGCTGCAGCCAGCTGTGCAGAAGTCTGGCTGCCTGACATGTTTGTTAGGGCAGAGTCTGGCAGTGCAGTGAAAAAAGCTGAAGCCCTAAGGGACTTCGGGGTGCACGACTTCCCAACCAACCGCTTCTAGCTCCCCAGTGCAGAAGGCATGCAGAGGAATGGGGCTGCTGCTCACATCTGTCCTGCCACTGGTGAGTTGCTTGATAGCCCAACTAGTCAGTGACCACCAGGTTCACATGGATGCACCAACGCGCCACCACTTAGTCCTGAAAGAAACAGCCCTGCTGGGTCTCCTGGGAGAGTAGATGGCATGATCTGTCTGCCTAGCTGGAGAAAGGTCAATGCAGGAATGGTGATAGCTGCAGGGAAAAGGAGGCGGTGAAGGAAGAGGCAGAAGTGCCAGAGCCAGGGCAGATCCTGCACCCTCCCCCAAAACAAAATCCATCCCCGCTAAGGAAGCACCTTTGTTCCCAAGGCAATAAAGCAAGAAGCACAGACGAGCGCAGAGGCGAGTACAGGTTGGAGGGAGAACGGGAGAAGCAAGCCTGGGAAGCAGAAGCCTATGTTGGGGAACAAGGGCAGCCTTGCCGGTCTTTGCCTTGTGTCGCACGCTGTGCTGCCTGGCAGATGCCCTCCCCGTGATGCCAGGTTCCTGGAGCAAGAAGCCATGCAATTCTCTGGGGGGGATTCTGCCTCTTCGGCACACGCTCTGGGACTGGCTTTGGCTGGTCACACCCTCTGGTACGTCGAATCTAGCAGCATCTTCTGGTTCATAAGGGCAGAGCTTCATGTCTTAGCCATGAGTGCAGGTTCACGTAATACTGTATGCCAGAGATCAGAGTGGACATGTCCAGATGTCAAACAGCAGCAGGCATTTTGGGAATGCAGAGACAGGGGAAGAGAGAACCACATCATTAAGGCCTTTCGGGTTTTGTCAACAGCACAAAGCAAGATGATTCCTTCCCACAAACCTGTCATTTCAGTCTCACACCACTGTCTGCATTTGGCCATGGGAAGTGAGATGCCGGGCTTCCTCGCACGCAAAAACCTGTTTTACCCGTCATTTGCAGAGAAGTCCTCACTTTTGGCAGCTTGCATTGGACGCATCCCAGCTCACGCTCTTTTTGGTCATTGTATCTGGACATAGCAGCCACTTACAGGTGCCCACAATAACACCACCTAGGAGTTAGTTAATTCTCCCCATTATCTTCTTCCACCCAGGCCACAATTTTCCCCTCCCACCCAGGAATGATGTCATCATCATGGAAAACCTGTAGAAAAAGCAGAGAGGAGCTGGTCATTTCAGAGCTGGAGCATCTCTTTGTCCTGGGCAAGGGGCACCACAGAAGGAAGCGTGAGCTGAGTGCTTCTTCCTAGCTCATACTGCACCACACAAATCACAGAACAACACATCACCTGGCACTTATACAAGACTTCATGTTCCCAAAGGGCTTTAGAAGCAGCAGTTCTGCTTCCCTATTCAACCCCACTGGGAAAAGCAAGGACTATTATCCCCAAGTTAATGACAGTGAAAATAAAGTCCCATGGGGGGTCAAGTATGAAAACTGGGGAACCTGCTGAATCCCACCCTGGGTTCAGAGCATTAGATAACACTGTTTTTGGAGAGACTGGTACTGATGCACTTTAAATGTGTTCCTGCAATGGGGTACATTACTCTCCAGTGGGGCACGTCTGTGATCACATTCATGTCACCGCTCTGAATGAAACAAAGAGTCCCATTTTGGCTCTTTACCCGGGGGCTGGAATCCCCCGAATCGTGGCTCTGGGAATACGAGTTTGCTCAGAGATTTCACTCCCTTGGGAACCGAACGTGTCAGAGGTGGCCAAGCCACTGCTGCAGCGGTAAACCCATATACAAACCACGATCACAACTGTGCAGACACACATACCTCCTCCTTGACCGTGCCAAACTCTGGATCCAGGGCTTTGAAGTGGTACCGGTGGGTTCCTTCCCGATCAATAGCTGCCTTAAAGTCCT